TATCATTAATACTCCTCCTCACAGAACCCAAAGAATGACTGTCCCACAGAGATTGCGTCGCTTCATCCATAAAGACGATTACCATCGACCAATGATCTTGAGCAACCTCCCTGCAGATGAAGATGATTGGCTAACACCACAACCCTTGTATGTTACTAAGAAAATTATCGCCCCTAATTAGGGAGATATCTTGTATAACATTTCTACTTCTACATCTACTGTTATAAATATGCTACATTTACTATGGCGGGATACCACCTTGAAAGAAGCTAACGTCAAGTAATTCTTTACGAACTGTCCAGATGACCGCCTTGTCTTGTTGTTTAAATATTCGATATGCAATCGCAAAAAAAAAAAAAAAAATTGCAACTTGTATATCTACTAGCAATAATTCAGTCATGTACCTATATATGTGTTATATCTATGTGACTCTGATGGGTTAGTATTACACCCCTTCAAGAATATTCTATTATTTCACATACACTTTTTAAATTGTACCAAAGTGGTTGTGTCACTTACCTTTTATATCCTGCCTCTCTTCCCCCTCCCACCCTTTTCTAATATTTCCATCCTTACCCATCCTTCTTCCTTACCCATCTTACCAGACTCTGGTCATAAGAATCGAAAACTACATCGCTGTCCCACAGATGGCTCCAACTTCATCCTGCCCCCTATTTCAGTTTCATAACAGTAAAAAGACTTTGAAATGAGCTGAGGTAGACAACAGCTCTTAGCTTGTAAATAAAGTAAAGAACTCTTAACCTTACCTTGTAAAACCCTTTCGTAAATAAGAGAGAGAGAGAGAGAGAGAGAGAGAGAGAGAGAGTGAGTTCCAACTGCTTACATAATATAATTCTGATCATGGTAATCAAAACCAGGGTGATTCTGACAGTGTAATTTCGGCCAAGGTAATCCTTGCTTTGGTAATCCTGCTGTGGGAAGACCTGTCCTGGGTTATCATACCCTAGATTTTATTTCACGGATTTTTTTTGTAATTGGTGTTTCTGGTCTCAGTTGAAATACCGTGATCTATAATATATAATCTTTCTTTCGGTGATTCTGTTCTTTCCTGGCTGTCATATCCTACCTAATATTTCTCTACATTATCATACACTGGTGGCCTGGTGGTTAACGCTCTCGCTTCACACGGTGAGGGCCTGGGTTCGATTCCCAGCCAGAGTAGAAACATTGGACGTGTTTCTTTCCACCTGTTGTCTATGTTCCCCATCAGTAAAATGGGTACCTGGGTGTTAGTCGACTGGTGTGGGTCGCATCCTGGGACACTGACCTAAGGAGGCCTGGTCACAGACCGGGCCGCGGGGGCGTTGACCCCCGGAACTCTCTCCAGATAAACTCCAGAAACTCCAGGTACACAAGATTTATCAAGGTTAAAACTCACAAAGGCGTAAATTAAACGTGTGTAAACGTCTCGTGGAACTGCTAGATTTGGAGCGCAGTACTCTAACTCTAATCATTACTGATTCTTTGACTTACACAAAGACTAACAACATGCTCATCGGAGAAGCAAGGTATAGATACTCAAAAATCTTGGAGAAAGGAAACTGGATTACTCCTTCATGATAAAGTTAATATGTTAGCCAAGAAAAGTACCCTGAAGGATAATGTAGAATAAAACTTTGGTATATCTGTGTCTAGCATTAGGAATAATATTAGGAGAGAAGAAAATAATGAAACCGAATGTTATAGGAATGTAATTAGAAGGCTGAGTAAATCTATAACCCACTATAACATGAACGTAGATAAGTACGTTTATGGAACAACTTGCAATGTGAGCAGACTGATGATGTAGTGACCAGGTTTAGGCTTGGTTACAAGCACTTCTGGCAGTTTGGCACCCCTCAAGGGAGGGTCCTAGACGCTGGTGAGGGGTTCTTGATCTAGGGAATTGGGGCTGTGCTCCAGTTCCCTGAATTGAGCCTGAATGACTTCCATCCCCCCACCCCACAGGCACTGTATAATCCCTACGGGTTTATCGCTACCTCATGATGATAATAATAATGGCAGTTTGGCAGACACACACATGATGATCAAACCAAATGCAAAGTATGTGGCCAGCCCTATAATCACTATCTTCAACACTATATGTTTAACTGTCCACTTATTGATGAATATAGAGATAGACAGTATACTCTGTGTAATATGTCGAGATATCTTATTTATGAAAATATGTTACCAGATATATTAAGCAAATTTCCTAAACTTGATAAGTGAACTGTAGATTTAAATCCAGATGTACTCATGTTAACCATTTTGGGGCCTAGTTCCTAAGTCTTTTGTGTATCTATATGCTCTTACGCTATTGGGTACACAATAGCCTATCCACTTCGGCAGCAATATCTAAATCTATACATCATAGGAAGGCAAGCATGGGCTCCACTGTGACCAGAAATGCTCACTGGACGAAATTTATTAGGTCAGTTTGGCACAATGCTTAGAGCACTAGCCGGTTTGATTCACATCTGGCTTCAATTGGTTGGAATATTGCCTATTTTGTTAGTTCTTTGTTCAGGCCGAGGGAGTCCCACAAGGTTGTATCCGTAGCACTACCCTTTTTCTCTTGGCTGTAAATGATCTACCGTCCGCTCATCCATCCCACATTCGATCGCCGCTGTATGTGGATGACTTCGCTTTAGCTTACGCAGGCGCTGACTGTTGCCTGGTAGCGGCCTCCCTTCAGGATGCGATTGACCGTGTGTCCCTTTGGGCCACTTCTCATGGATTTAAATTTTCTGGTGTGAAAACCGATTTCATTACTTTCACTAGACGTCCTCTTGTCCCAGATATTCCATTATACTTGCACGGCTCGCATATCCCGGATTGTGATACGGTCAGTTTGCATGGCCTTCTGTTCGATCGCCGGTTGACGTGGAAACCTCACATTTCCTCTTTGAAAGCAGCTTGCCATGGTTGACTAAACCTCTTAAAATTCTTGCGCATTGTTCATGAGGGGGATGGGGCTGATCGCAGGACTCTCCTTCGTTTGTGTTCCGCCGTAGTCTTGTCGAAGCTGGATTATGGCGACAAAGTTTATTCTGCGGCTTCTCCTGCAACTCTCTCTAAGCTAGATCCCCTTCTTCTTCAAGGATTACGTTTATGCCTTTGTGTCCTTCGTTCATCCCCTGTTGAAAGCCTCTATGCTGATCGTCGTGATGCTCATTGCCTTCGTTACTTTGTCCGCTCTCATGACCTTCGTGTTCCTTCTACGTACAGGTTGGTCTCCGACGTTAGTAGAGACCCGATATTTGAGGGCCGCCCCTGCTTACTCTGTCTGTTTTCTCTTCGTCTTCACTCACTCCGGTCTTCTCTCCAGTTGCCTCCCTTGTATCTTTATGTAGCGTCTGCCTTTTACCTTCCCCCTTGGGAGGTTCCGACAGTGCGTGTCTGTTCTCCCCTACTGCCGTGTGCTAAAGCTCTCCTACCTACTGCTGCTTCTCGCTCTCTTTTTCTTGATCAGTTCCAGTCTCATGTCCGTGCCATCGCTGTTTATGTAGACGGTTCTAAATCTTCTGACTGTGTTGGGTTAGCGGCGGTGTTCCCTGACGCTGTTGTCCGGGGTCATTTGTTAGACTCGGCTAGTATTTTTACAGCAGAGTTGTATGCCATCCTCATAGTGTTTCTCTGTATTACATGTATGTCTCTTTCGGTGTTTGTGATCGTTTCAGATTCCCTCAGCGTTTTACACGCTAATAAACAATTTGACTTCTTTCATCCGTTGGTCCTTCGTATTCAACTTTGGTCGCATCGTGTAACTTGCAAAAACAAAGACGTCGTTTTCTGTTGGGTCCCTGAACACGTTGATGGCGGGCAAGAACTTGGAAA